AGTTACTACAGGAGGAAACCTAAACTAACTTTATTTATATTGGATAGCTCTGTCAGATCTAAACTGTTCTTCCTAGAGGTCCAGTAAGGATCATCTCTTATTGATCCAGTGTTACTACAGGAGGAAACCTAAACTAAACTAACTTTATTTATACTGGATAGCTCTATCAGTTCTAAACTGTTCTTCCTAGAGGTCCAGTAAGGATCATCTCTTATTGATCCAGTGTTACTACAGGAGGAAACCTAAACTAAACTAACTTTATTTATACTGGATAGCTCTATCAGTTCTAAACTGTTTTTCCTAAAGGTCCAGTAAGAGACATCTCTTATGGAGTCATCTCTTATTGGGGTCCAGTAAGAGACATCTCTTATTGATCCAGTGTTACTGCAGGAGGAAACCTAAACTAAACTAACTTTACTATTTATACTGGACAGCTATATAAGTTCTAAAACTAATTATACAGTCTCGACAATCATTCTTAAGATATTTTCTCTCATATTTCAGGAGAAGAAGCAAACTCCCCTTGTCAAGAAACGTCGCCAAAAAGTCGACGGAAAATAAGCAAACCGAAGCATTACAAACCCTCCAACAATGATGAGGGCAAGCCAGAACACAACGGGATCTCACAGACACCAGAGGACCTCAACGGATCGGCTAGCAGCCCCGAAAGTGTGGTTCAAGATCAAGACGAAGACGTGATCCCCGAAAATGCTGTTCACGTGATGACTGCGAATCACGGTGTAAAGAAAGCGGTTAACAGCCCTGGAAAGCGCTCGGTTCCCGCCCAGAAACCCAGGAGGGTTTCGGCCGGAAAGACGGCCACTAAGAAAGGAAAGAATGATTCGCCCACTGTTCCTCGCAAGCCAGAGGATTTGATTAAAGAGGCGATGATACTTGGACAGGCAACCCCACCGGCAAGCAAGAGAGACGCGCAGTATCGCAAGTCGTATGCCTATAAGATATGGAAGGAAAGAGGGCATCAGGAACTCGCGAGCGACGCCACTGAGGGGAATGGTATGAGTGGAACAAAGAACAAGCTGCCGCCAGGTATTGTAATTATTGACAGGCAACGTTTTCTATATATTCAATAATCCAAACTCTTTCGAGTGACCAAAATTTCGCATCTTCCCGAAGTCTGGCAACAAGCCGTCACCAAGTTGTGTTCGCACTTGTTACAACCTTGTGTCGTCAACCTTGTAACATTCTTGTTATATCATGACTGCATCAGACTTGTTAGAACAACCTTGTAACATTCTTGTTATATCATGACTGTATCAGACTTGTTAGAACAACCTCGTAACATTCTTGTTATATCATGACTGTATCAGACTTGTTAGAACAACCTTGTAACATTCTTGTTATATCATGACTGTATCTGACTTGTTAGAACAATCTTGTAACATTCTTGTTATATCATGACTGTATCAGACTTGTTAGAACAACCTTGTAACATTCTTGTTATATCATGACTGTATCAGACTTGTTAGAGCAACCTTGTAACATTCTTGTTATATCATGACTGTATCAGACTTGTTAGAACAACCTTGTAACATTCTTGTTATATCATGCCTGTATCAGACTTGTTAGAACAACCTTGTAACATTCTTGTTATATCATGACTGTATCAGACTTGTTAGAACAACCTTGTAACATTCTTGTTATATCATGACTGAATCAGACTTGTTAGAACAACCTTGTAACATTTTTGTTATATCATGACTGTACCAGACTTGTTAGAACAACCTTGTAACATTCTTGTTATATAATGACTGTATCAGACTTGCTAAAACAACCTTGTAACATTCTTGTTATATCAGGACTGTATCAGACTTGTTAGAACAACCTTGTAACATTCTTGTTATATCATGACTGTATCAGACTTGTTAGAACAACCTTGTAACATTCTTGTTATATCATGACTGTATCAGACTTGTTAGAACAACCTTGTAACATTCTTGGTATGTCATGACTCTTTCAGACTTGTTAGAACAACCTCGTAACAAGTGTGATAATGCCATCAAGCTTGTTACAAGTTGTTAAAAGCTTGTTCCAAACTTGTTACAACAACTGGGAACAAGCAGTGCGAACACAAGTTGTCGACAGCTTGTGAACAGATTTGTAACAACTTGTTTGCAAACCTGTAATAACTTGTGCGTTTTTACGTATGTACACACCATAAACGCACAAGTTGTAACAAACCTGTAACAGGCTTGTAGCAATGCTGTTCCAACAACTTGTCAACAGGATGTGTTCGCACTGCTTGTTCCCAGCTTGTTGACAACTTGCTACAAGGTTGTTGAGCTCAACAGACTTGTCCTGCAATTCAACAATTTGTCAACAAGTTGTGAGTGACAATCTTGTAGCAACTAGATAAAATAACAGCATTGTTACAACTTGTTGACAAGCTTGCTACAAGCCTGTTGCGAACACATCTCGTTGACAAATTGTGAGATTTTTACAAGTGTAGAAGTAGTTCTTCGGAAAAAAGCCTTCTTAAACTTCTTGTGATTTGATTAATTTTAGGTCCACTTCAGAATCAAGCCAGAGCGGCGTTCTACTGGCCAGGAAACCAGTACAACGGCGCTACTCCTCCTGGATTCTTTGCCAACGGAAAATTTTACGCCATCAATCCACAAATGATCCCAACTATACCTGGTAGACCTGAAATACCACCTACATCACCTACCGTCCCCGCCCTTACCGCAGCAACGAGCGTTCGCCCCATCCAAAACTCCGTGATTCAAAGCTCAACTGCCGGGGTTGTTACCTCCGCTGGGCATGTGGTACAATACCCGGGGGTGGTCATGAGTTCCGGTATCGAAAACCCCAGACTCAAAGTCGTCCCTCCGAACGTGACGGTTGTACCACAATGCCCAAGAGGACGTTCCCCTAAAGAAGTCAAATCTCCGGTGGCTAAATCCCCGGGTGTCAAAACCCCGCCATTGATAAGAAGCCCGGGTGGTACACAAGCCATATTGCCCGTACCAGTTTCCCAGGGAGACGCGGCCAAAAATTCACCGCGTGAAAATGGCGCTAAAAGTTCCGAAGCTCGAAACGAAACGAAAGCGAGTAATGCCACGGCTAGTCCCAGCAACCTCGTTTCTATTATGAAAACATCGTTACGGCAAAAACATTCCAAAGAAAACGTGCAACCGTTGCCCACCATGTTTAAAAATAAACGAAAACTCGAAGCGGATAAAGGCGACGGACCGCCCGCAAAAAAGAACGGGAAACCGACCATTTTTACGCCGCTCAACGAACAGGAAGCCGAGAAATTGGCGAACGATATCTACGATGTTAATTTGGAATATTTTCCGTTTCAAACGCTCGCGGGAAAAGCCGCGCAGAGCGAGGAAGCCTTGTCTGAGACGCCTGACAGGCCAGAAAAGACCGATAAAGTCAAAGAAATTGAAAAAGTCAGGTAGGAACTACTGCCTAACTTTATTTATACCGGATAGCTGTATCAGTTCTAAACTGTTCTCCAACTTCTCCCTAGAGGCACAGTAAGGATCATCTCGTATTGATCCAGTATTACTACAAGAGCTAACCTAAACTAAACTAACATTATTTATACTGGATAGTTCTATCAGTTCTAAACTGTTCTTCCTAAAGGTCCGGTAAGAATCATCTCTTATTGACCCAGTGTTACTGCAGGAGGAAACCTAAACTGAACTAACTTTATTTATACTGGATAGTTCTATCAGTTTTAAACTGTTCCTCCTAGAGGTCCAGTAAGATCATCTCTTATTGATCCAGTGTTACTACAGGAGGAAACCTAAACTAAACTAACTTTATTTATACTGGATAGCTCTATCAGTTCTAAACTGTTCTTCCTAGAGGTCCAGTAAAGATCATCTCTTATTGATCCAGTGTTACTACGGGAGGAAACCTAAACTAAACTAACTTTATTTATACTGGATAGCTCTATCAGTTCTAAACTGTTCCTCCTAGAGGTCCAGTAAGGATCATCTCTTATTGATCCAGTGTTACTACAGGAGGAAACCTAAACTAAACTAACTTTATTTATACTGGATAGTTCTATCGGTTCTAAACTGTTCTTCCTAGAGGTCCAGTAAGAGTCATCTCTTATTGATCCAGTGTTACTACAGGAGGAAACCTAAACTAAACTAACTTTATTTATACTGGATAGTTCTATCAGTTTTAAACTGTTCCTCCTAGAGGTCCAGTAAGATCATCTCTTATTGATCCAGTGTTACTGCAGGAGGAAACCTAAACTAAACTAACTTTATTTATACTGGATAGTTCTATCAGTTTTAAACTGTTCCTCCTAGAGGTCCAGTAAGATCATCTCTTATTGATCCAGTGTTACTACAGGAGGAAACCTAAACTAAACTAACTTTATTTATACTGGATAGTTCTATCAGTTTTAAACTGTTCCTCCTAGAGGTCCAGTAAGATCATCTCTTATTGATCCAGTGTTACTGCAGGAGGAAACCTAAACTAAACTAACTTTATTTATACTGGATAGTTCTATCAGTTTTAAACTGTTCCTCCTAGAGGTCCAGTAAGATCATCTCTTATTGATCCAGTGTTACTACAGGAGGAAACCTAAACTAAACTAACTTTATTTATACTGGATAGTTCTATCAGTTCTAAACTGTTCTTCCTAGAGGTCCAGTAAGGATCATCTCTTATTGATCCAATGTTACTACAGGAGGAAACCTAAACTAAACTAACTTTATTTATACTGGATAACTCTATCAGTTCTAAACTGTTCTCCCTGGAGGTCCAGTAAGGATCATCTCTTATTGATCCAGTGTTACTACAGGAGGAAACCTAAACTAAACTAACTTTATTTATACTGGATAGTTCTATCAGCCCTAAACTGTTCTTCCTAGAGGTTCAGTAAGGATCATCTCTTATTGATCCAGTGTTACTACAGGAGGAAACCTAAACTAAACTAACTTTATTTATACTGAATAGCTCTATCAGTTCTAAACTGTTCTTCCTAGAGGTCCAGTAAGGATCATCACTTATTGATTCAGTGTTACCACAGGAGGAAACCTAAACTAAACTAACTTTATTTATACTGGATAGCTCTATCAGTTCTAAACTGTTCTTCCTATAGGGGTCCAGTTAGGATGATCTCTTATTGATCCAGTGTTACTGCAGGAGGAAACCTAAACTAAACTAACTTTATTTATACTGGATAGCTCTATCAGTTCTAAACTGTTCTTCCTAGAGGTCCAGTAAGGATCATCTCTTATTGATCCAGTGTTACTAGAGGAGGAAACCTAAATTAAACTAACTTTATTTATACTGGATAGCTCTATCAGTTCTAAACTGTTCTTCCTAGAGTTCCAGTAAGAATCGTCTCTTATTGATCCAGTGTTACTACAGCAGGAAACCTAAATTAAACTAACTTTATTTATACTGGATAGCTCTATCAGTTCTAAACTGTTCTTCCTAGAGGTCCAGTAAGGATCATCTCTTATTGATCCAGTGTTACTACAGGAGGAAACATAAACTAAACTAACTTTATTTATACTGGATAGCTCTATCAGTTCTAAACTGTTCTTCCTAGATGTCCAGTAAGGATCATCTCTTATTGATCCAGTGTTACTACAGGAGGAAACCTAAACTAAACTAACTTTATTTATACTGGATAGCTCTATCAGTTCTAAACTGTTCGTCCTAGAGGTCCAGTAAGAATCATCTCTTATTGATCCAGTGTTACTACAGGAGGAAACCCAAACTAAACTAACGTTATTTATAATGAATAGCTCTATCAGTTCTAAACTGTTCTTGCTAGAGGTCTAGTAAGAATCATCTCTTATTGATCCAGTGTTACTACAGGAGGAAACCCAAACTAAACTAACTTTATTTATAATGAATAGCTCTATCAGTTCTAAACTGTTCTTTCTAGAGGTCCAGTAAGAATCATCTCTTCTTATTGATCCAGTGTTACTACAGGAGGAAACCCAAACTAAACTAACTTTATTTATACTGAATAGCTCTATCAGTTCTAAACTGTTCTTCCTAGAGGTCCAGTAAGAATCATCTCTTATTGATCCAGTGTTACTACAGGAGGAAACCTAAACCAAACTAACTTTATTTATACTGGATAGCTCTATCAGTTCTAAACTGTTCTCCCTAGAGATCCAGTAAGGATCATCTCTTATTGATCCAGTGTTACTACAGGAGGAAACCTAAAACTAAACTAACTTTATTTATACTGGATAGCTCTATCAGTTCTAAACTGTTCTCCCTAGAGGTCCAGTAAGGATCGTCTCTTATTGATCCAGTGTTACTACAGGAGGAAACCTAAACTAAACTAACTTTATTTATACTGGATAGCTCTATCAGTTCTAAACTGTTCTTCCTAGAGGTCCAGTAAGGATCACTTCTTATTGATCCAGTGTTACTACAGGAGGAAACCTAAACTAAACTAACTTTATTTATACTGGATATAGCTCTATCAGTTCTAAACTGTTCTTCCTATAAACAAGCTCTTACTTGATATCTCCGGTACCCAGTGCGCCAAGCTGTTTGACTTGCGACATCCGTCTTGTGGTCATCGCCATCTTTAGTGCAGCAGCATTAACCTGAAGTAGTTTAGCGACCATATTGACTGCTCCCTCGGACTTACTGGTGACCTTTGAACCGCCTAAAATATATAACGTATGAGAATAATTATACAGTAGATTCGCAAGCTTTGTGATGGGCATGTACATTATAAGTAAGTGGGATGTGCTAATCGTCCTTACTTGCAGCTGAGAGCTAAGCTGAATTACAAAGGACGCTGGTATCTGACAAGCAACAAAGCCCCTACCTTTCTTGTCGTCAAGTTCCTCTTCAAAGGCAATATTCCCAAGATGCATCACCGCTGCAACAATGCGGAATATATTATCTTTCTCTTGCGAGGAGAAGCCGACCTTGTCCATGGATTCTGACATGAGCTTGTAATCTTGAGTGTCGTTCAAATTTCTGTCTTGTATTGAGCCTTGGTTCAGAAACTGAAATTAAATAGTGGAGAACAGTTTAGAACTGATAGAGATATCCAGTAGTATAAATAAAGTTAGTTTAGTTTAGGTTTCCTCCTGTAGTAATACTGGATCAATAAGAGATGATCCTTACTGGATCTCTAGGAAGAACAGTTTAGAACGGATAGAGCTATCCAGTATAAATAAAGTTAGTTTAGTTTAGGTTTCCTCCTGTAGTAACACTGAATCAATAAGATGTGATTCTTACTGGACCTCTAGGGAGAACAGTTTAGAACTGATAGAGTTATCCAGTATAAATAAAGTTAGTTTAGTTTAGGTTTCCTCCTGTAGTAATACTGGATCAATAAGAGATGATCCTTACTGGACCTCTAGGAAGAACAGTTTAGAACGGATAGAGCTACCCAGTATAAATCAAGTTAGTTTAGTTTAGGTTTCCTCCTGTAGTAACACTGGATCAATAAGAGATGATCCTTACTGGACCTCTAGGAAGAACAGTTTAGAACTGATAGAGTTATCCAGTATAAATCAAGTTAGTTTAGTTTAGGTTTCCCCCTGTAGTAACACTGGATCAATAAGAGATGATTCTTGCTGGACCTCTAGGAAGAACAGTTTAGAACTGATAGAGTTATCCAGTATAAATCAAGTTAGTTTAGTTTAGGTTTCTTCCTGTAGTAACACTTGATCAAAAAGAGACGATTCTTACAGGACGTCTATAGGGAGAACAGTTCAGAACTGATTTCTGATGATGGTTTTGTAATAGTAACATACTGCAAATCTACAATAAAAGTAAAATAAACTTACATGAAAGTCTTCGGCTCTCGTTATTCCCAGGGCTGTCTTTTGCGCAGACGGAGCACCGGAACACAGTCTGTAGAAGACATGGTAGCTTCTCTCCCCAGGACTTTGTTTACAGATACGCGACTTCTCCAGCAGATAATGCGAGATAAAACCACCAACGACTTTAGGCTGGAAAAGAGATCAATAGATTTAGCGGTCAATAGATTTAGCGGTCAATAGATTTTCCCAAGGGCTAAGACCCCAGAATACCTAAATGGACCTATTACCTATAATAACCAAAATTTTGATCTCAACAAGTCTAGACAAAAATTTCACCACAGCTTGAAAGAACATCACAAAACTATTAATATTCCGAAGTTTCGTAGCAAAATGTTGTAAAATGTGGATAATTTAGCCTTGCGAAATTTGTCGTTTTTCAGTCATTTTATATTACGTGCGATACCGCTTGCTGAAAAAGGTATCAATTTTGCCGAATATTACTAATTTTGTGATGCTCTTTCTTTTTGTCTAGACTTGTCTAGATCAAAATTTTGTTTATCAGGTAATAGCTCCATTACACTACATGCCTTGGGCTTGTACCTTTTCGTTGAAGTGAACTTCCACATACTTCCCAAAACGACTGCTGTTGATATTTCGGAGAGTCTTTGCGTTACCAAACGATTCCAGTAACGGATTGGCTTAAATAAGAAGTGGAACAATTTAATAATGGCTTTATTAGTAGTTCATCGACAGGTTGGCTGGCTCTTGACAACCTGTTCCAGACTTGTCAACAACTGGGAACAAGCAGTGTCAGGGCTGCAAATTACTGTCGGACATCGGACAATGTCCGACTAAATTTGGCAAATGTCCAAGCAAAAGTAACTTTGATCGGACATTGGTCCGATCACACAAAAAAATTGTCACATTATACATTTTTTTGCTGTGACAAACTCCGATTGTAAATTCACTCAATTTGCATTTTGCAATAAAATTTACGAGGCATTCTAGCATTTTACTTAACGTTTCGCCGGAATGGCTATACATACTTGTCTCGTGACTTATATATATCTTGTGACATACTGTATATATGTCTGACCAAATTTAGTGATGTTGGTTTTTGTCTGACCAAATTCAAGTTATGTCCGACCAAAATTAAAAGTGATCGGACAAATGTCCTGTCAAGTCAAATATTTATTTGCAGCCCTGAGTGTGAACAAATCTTGTTGACAAGCCGTGAGATTTTTACGCCAAATAATTTTAAAAAGATTATGAAAGCCCTATGGATGAAAGAATGTTGAAAAAACCCAGTAAATGTGAAGAGGGGAGTAAAATTTTAGAATCTTTGTTATACCTTCAACGATTCGCTCTTCAATATGACCATGTTGGCCATCACCCCACGATTCTGTCAAATACCTACAATCAGATAAAATAAGTAAATATGATGAAACCGAATAAGTGTGTCTAAAAAATGCGACCCTTTTCTTGTAAACACCCAAACTTCATTAGCTCTGGGGTTTAGAATGCATTGTAATCGTACGAGTATGTTAAAACTGCATAAATTGTACATGAAAATTCTAATTCAAAGTTGGAACAACTTATAAATTTGTCCGGTAGGTTGGATTAAAAATGGTTCAACTGGCTCAATGGTTCAGCAAAGAGTTTTTACTGTTTTACGCGCTGTGTTAAATTAATCAACACATGATCATATTCATATGTTAAACGATACCTAAAACTTTTAAATAACTTGCAACACATAAAATTCGATTCAATTGTGTTTACGAACCCATGAGTTCAGTATAGAACTCAGGCATTCAAAAACAAGAAGGTGAACTTCTAAAGGGTCATGCACGGATTTTTTGGGCCATTGTCCCTGTATTATACAGGCCTTAAAATATCGGTCGGTCACGGACATTGTCCGACTCATTCGTGAAATTGTCCGACGTAGAGAGGAAACCACCGGACATTCTGTTCGACCATGCAAAGTGAAACTGAGGTTTATTGTTTGTCCGACCTGAGTGTATTGGTGTCAGACCGAACTGTAGCTTTGTCCGACGTAAATCAAAATGTACCCTAGCCCAGGACTAGAGGCTTGTATATTAAATGGAAAATCAGAGTACTATTGTATAAAAAGTGAACTGGAAATGTTGTTTTAACGTAGTCGAGCGCGGGGCGGCGAGCGAAATGGTGAAGTGGAAAACGGGCTTAAGTTGTCGAAGGCTCTATTAATACTGCTGTTCTGGAAAGCAAGTTAATTTTGGCTTGGACATAAGTATGAAAGAAACAAATTATTTAATATCTTTACAACATTTACCGCTTATTCATTTGTGTCATTCAGACTTATTTCCGAGTCAAAACTGAACTGAAGGTCATCGGACATATGTCCGACCCAAACTCAATGTCACCGGACATTTTGTCAGACGGCCCTGTAAAAGATATTTTAAGGCCTGTGTATACTGAAAAATCTTGATTTGGTTGGTCAGGCGTTCATATGGCAAGATGTCGCTTAGCCGGGCTGCGTGGCTCCTTTCTCGGGTGAACACAAATTAAATTTTATATGCGTTAAAGCGCGGTTTCGTTATGGTCGTAACGGTCGTAAAGATTGGCTCACGATCTTTCTCATCAGCCGAAATACAATATTTTAGAACTGAAAATACGCGGAGTGATTAGAACTAGAGAATACTTATGATTTATATGTGGTTTACAGGTATAAACTATTATAAACTGGCCGTTGAGAAAGATCCTGACTCTATTTTTACAACCATATAGAAACCAGGTTCTCTTATTCTCGATTAGTTACGCTCATGCGAACAAGCCTTAGCAAAAAAAGTGTGTGGGGGACAAATAAATATTTAAAATTTTGAGATTGTGGTATTTTGTGAATTGAGACGGTTTATAAAATTTTAATACCTCAGAATAAATTTGGTGGATTCTGTTTTCCCAGCGCCAGACTCGCCTAAGAACGACAACGAAAGTATTAGTAATCTTGTAGTCTCTGTCATACGAATTTATACATAATAAAGAAATGCAAAATTTCTTAAAATCTTAATCTGAGTTGAAACAGTATAGCTGTAGTGTAGTTACCACTGACGATAATCGATTGACTTTCTTTCAAAGCGCGCATATCTCGATATGCCTTGTCGGCTGAAAAAATTTAACATGAGAAAAATTAATATTAATGATTTACAGCATTACTATAATCAGGTCTTGATACGATGCAATGCAATATAATAAACGATGAAAAGCAATATAATAAACTCGAAATTGTTTATTACCGACGTATTAAACACATCAAAAGTGTGTGTAAAAACTCGGCTAGCGCCTCGTTTTTCACACACACTATTCGGTGTTTCATACGCCGGTAATAAACGCTTTCAAGTTCACTGTTACTGACAGTAGTAAAATAGACAAGTTTAAAGGTGATCTACAGTCCGTATGTAAACAAAGCCTTTGTTTACATTTTTGTGTCCAAAATATTGAGCTTTATTCGACAACTATTTATATTTTCAAGCTTCTAGAGTATAATAAATGATCAAGAAACGACAATCAGGCTTTTCAAGAACTCAAAACATAGTTAAACTGTTTGTATCATAAAAAGTGGGCACATTTGTGCACATGCGCAGATCGGACTGTAGATCACCTTTAAAAATAGTAAAAATCATATATTCATATCATGAAAAACATTGATTTTTACACTATGACTCACATGAGTTTATGCCATTTTGGCAGTTCAATGAATAAAAATGGCAGGCTAAATTTATTTCACCTGTCAAAAAATTTTAGACTGTCAGGCCATATTTTTTCTCTTCCCTCGAGCCTGCAAGTGCTAGTCTATCTAAGACTACAGTAACTGCAAAATTAGATTTATAGTGGTTTGTTTTCAACTTACCTATCGCGAAGACATGGGGTGGTAAAACACCCAAAGATTTCCCATGATATTTTCTCATCATCTCGGAGGAGTAGAGATTTCTCATGTCGTGATATGGATTTACAGCAAGAAGAATGTCTGCTACATATGTCTAAAATACAGAGTAGATCAGTCTCAGATCTTGTTTAAAACATTAACCAATGCCTCTCAGAATATGCACTGATGTTCAGTGGTAGACATTGCAGAGGTGAGGAAAGCAAGGCTGAGATAGGATGCAGGCCATAAAATATCGGTCACAGAACCGTCTGACAAAATGCTTGATGACTTGAGTTGGAGATACAGTATGTATTGTCATGTCCAATGACTTTGAGTTCAGTTTGACTTAGAAATAAGTAAGAATGCAGACAAAATTAATATCAGCATAATTTGGAAAAGTCATTTGAATCTTGGCAATGCATTTCCGAATGTTGAGATGGTATGGACACGTAATAAGAAGAGATGAAGGAGAGCTGATCAGAGACATTGTGGAATGAAGATATCAGAAGACGTGGGGTGGTAGACATTGCAGAGAAGATGAGAGAAGCAAGGTTGAGATGGTATGGACACGTAATAAGAAGAGATGAAGGAGAGCTGGTCAGAGGCATTATGGAATGAAGAGATCAGAAGATGTGGGGTGGTAGACATTGCAGAGAAGGCAAGGGAAGCAAGGTTGAGACGAGATGAAGGAGAGCTGGTCAGAGACATTAAGGAATGAAGAGATCAGAAGATGTGGGGTGATAGATATTGCAGAGAAGGTGAGGGAAGCAAGGCTGAGAAGAGATGAAGGAGAGCTGGTCAGAGACATTAAGGAATGAAGAGATCAGAAGATGTGGGGTGGTAGATATTGCAGAGAAGGTGAGGGAAGCAAGGCTGAGATGGTATGGACACGTAATAAGAGAGATGGAGAGCTGGTCAGAGATATTATGGAATAAAGAAATCAGAAAATATGGGATGGTAGGCATTGCAGAGAAGTTGAGGGAAGCAAGGTTGAGATGGTATGGACACGTAATAAGAAGAGATGAAGGAGAGCTGGTCAGAGACATTTAATGGAATGAGATCAGAAGATGTGGGGTGGTAGACATTGCAGAGGAGATGAGGGAAGCAAGGGTGAGATGGTATGGACACGTAATAAAAAGAGATGAAGGAGAGCTGGTCAGAGACATTTAATGGAATGAGATCAGAAGATGTGGAGTGGTAGACATTGTAGAGAAGGTGAGGGAAGCAAGGGTGAGATGGTATGGACATGTAATAAGAAGAGATGAAGGAGAGCTGGTCAGAGACATTTTGGAATGAAGAGATCAGAAGATGTGGAGTGGTAGACATTGCAGAGAAGATGAGGGA